AAAAAAACAGAAAAAAAAACAAAGACACCTGTTACATGCTGTTTTATTTATCTACAGCTGTGTAACAAATTACAACTAAACTTAGTGGCTTAAACCAGTAAGCATTTCAAAACCTCATAATTCCTATGGATCTTGAATCTGGGTGCAACTTAGCTGGGTGCCTCTGGTTTAAGGCCCCTGATGAGGTTGCAGTTATGCTGTCAGCTGGGCTGCTGCTCACTTAAAGGCTCATCTGGGACATCAAGGAGACATCGTACTTGTATACAGTGGAAGAGCACTCAGACTTAAGAAAAGATAAAACACTACCATTTGGGACAACATGGATGGATCTTGATAATATCATGCTAAGCAAAATAAGTAGGAAACAGTCAAGAACCATATGATTTCACTCATATGTGAAATAAAATTTAAAAAAAAACTTAAAGTAACAAATGAATAAACCAGGCAAACAAACAAAAACTCATAGACATGGACAACAGCACGGTGGTTACCAGAGGAGAAGGGAAGATTGATTGGGGTCGGCAGGGCAAAGGGTAAAAGGAATCAAAATATATAGTTGCAGAAGGAGAGCTGGCTTTGGGTAGTAAACACACAATGTAATGTACAGATGATGCATTCTAAAATTGTATACTTGAAACATATATAATTTTACTAACCAATGTCACCCCAATCAATTTAATAAAATAAAAAATTAAACAAAATCTCAGCTGTGCAAGGGGAATCTGCTTTGAAACTGACTCTCGTGATTTTGACAGGCCTCCATCCCTTGTCATGTCACCCCCACAAAGCTGTCTCATGACATGATAACTGGCTTCCACCAGGGTAAGAAATGCAAGAGGAAAAGAGATATGGGAACTACAGACTTTTTATAACCTAATCTTAAAAATGGCATCCCATTTGTTTTATTCTATTTGTTAGGTCTAACTCAGACTTACGGGATACTTCTTGCGAGAATAAGTATAGTAGTAGAAAATAATCATGAGAGGCTATCTTAAGGGGTACTACATGCCCAGACAAAATAGTCCCCAAGTACCTGTAAGTAAATTAAAATATTTATTTGTTATTTAAACCAGTGACCTCTTGTCCATGGTTCAACCATTGACCCATCCCTGGCCAGGCATGTTATTTAACTCTTTGCACAAAAACCCCTCACAAATAATGAAAATAGAATGTGCACCCTTGATTAAATAATAGTAGTCTGTGTATGTGATTCTTGCTCATTTTATACTGTGGAAGAGTATGCCCTTGTACTTGTGAAATATGCAATGAAATCTTAAGGATGGAAAGTGGAAAATGGTTCAAACATATGTACACACAGAACAAGAAAGGGAGAGGGAAGACAGAAAGATTAAAAGCAAATGTGGGAAAACGAAAAAATTGGTGACTTGGGGTAAAGAGTTGAAGTAGTTTCCCAGGGCTCTTCTAGCAAAAGGCCACAATCTTGGTGGCTTAAAGCAACATAAATTTATTTCCTCACAGTTCTCGAGGCCAGGAGTATAAATTCAAGGGGTCTGCAAGGACAAGCTATCTCCAAGAGGCTATCAAAGATAATCTATTCTTTTCCTCTTCTAGCTCTCGTGGCTGTCAGCATTCTATGACTGGCTACAACTTCTGATGTTCTCTGTCTTCTCTTTGCTTCCTCCTCTATCTACTCTGTGGACCTCCCTGTCTCTCAAATCTCCCTCTGACTTTCTCTTTTAAAGAAAGACTGGAATTAGGGTGCATCCTAAAAGCAGGATGATCTCTTCATCTTAAGAGCCTTAACTTAGTTACATCTGTGAAACCCCAGTTTACAAATAAATAAGCCAGCATTACTAGGTTCCAGGGATTAGACAAGGACAGGTATGTTGAGGGTTTACTATCCAACCAACCACAGCATTATAAAGGAATTCTTTGTACCATTCTTGTAACTTTTCCATAAGTTACACATTATTTAGGAGCACAATTTTAAAGAATGAAAAACAGATTACATTGTCAAATACTATAGTCAAAGATCATAATATCTGACATGCCAACCTTCTTTTAAAGATAAAACTAAAAAATATGTACAATATACAAAATTGGAATAATGTTCTTTGTGGATTTGTGCTTCAGCATCATTCATTGTTTGAAGTCTAGAGTTTATGTGATGTCCATGTTGTCTGGTCTCTCAAACTTTTACTTTAATCTTCTTAGAACATTTAGGATATCAAAGGTCACTTTTATTTTAAAAGGAAGAATCCTGTTCTCAATTTTACTCTTTGTAGGAAAACTAAATAAGACTTTCTATGATGCTAATTGCCACAAGATGACAACTTCTTCTAAGGTAGTAGGGTTTTGATATCCCAAAATATTTTGTCTTGTTTATTTGATCTTTGATTAGTTTGTTTTCTTTTATATAATGTTTATTGATCTTAAGAATCACCCTTTAAAAAGATTTTTTAAGCAGTCACTCACTCTGCCCTAAATTTGATTGTTTGTTAGAGTTAAAGTGACTGTATGTAATATCTCTACCATGTGAAATAATAAATGAATTAATTAAATCAAATTAGTCTTTACCAAATAATAGTCTACTCACATATAGCTGAGAGCATGAGAACCAAGGTGAGCATTCAATTAAAGCAACAGCAGAAAAAACATCAAACGTATATATGCACAATTTTAATCTTATACTGAGAAAAATGAGTAGTAATGGGATAAGGATGAAAGACAAAATGCTTTGCTAACTATATAATAATTAGGTATTTAATGATTGGGATTGGTCATTCTAGAAAATGCTTCTTGAGGCTTACAGATTGTGGGGGTTTTCAGTATTCTCTTTCCAGTGTCTATCCTCAGCACATTATTTATGTTAAGTAAACATTGGCTACATGAATGCATGTATCACGAGTGATTTAATTAATTAACTCACACAATAAGCAAACCTATTCAAACTTAAATGTTTTGAAGTTTCAATCATCATGGAATGATGGAACTTCTAAATAAAAGTGTATGTATGTGCGAGTGTGTGTGTACCCATACATATGATGCTTTTTTTCTTGGATGACCTCTAAGAAATGTGGAGTCACAGACTAAAGCTGAACACAATTTCAGGTGCTCATCTGGTTCTATGCCTTTCTTCAGGAGACAAGCAATTATTATCCCCAGGATCTATTAAGCCACATGTTCTTTAGCATGTGACAGCTAAGGTGATGCTGATCAAAAAATATTGCTCTTCATTCTTAAGCAATTTCACATGCACAGAGATGTTTAGCAAGCACTTTCTCAGAGATGTTGTGGGAAAACACTAGCAGCCTTGGTCCGGAGGAGTAATTTATGACCGCGAGGTAAATGGTGTCCAAGAACACCTTGATCACATTAGCCATGCCCTGCTGTCTTTCTTTAACCCTGTTGACAACTGAACTTAAAAAAAAAAAAATAAGATCCCAATGAATCCTACTTCAGCTGCTTACTCCATTTCTTCATCTGGTACCTGCTGCCTCAGAGCATCTGTTAGTAAGTTTACAGAGGACAGACTGGAAGGAGAAACTGCAGAGGAGGGAGGGAAGGAGGCAAGCAGGGCGGGAGGGTTGGAGGGAGGGAGGGAAGGAGGCAGGGAGGGAAGGAGGGAGGGAAGAGTGTGATTAATAGAAGTCCTTGTGTTCATTGTTCTCCTCCCCAACTTTTCTTCCCTTTTAGTTCATTAACTAGAAATGTGGCAAGGTGAGGGAGATGAATTTAACTTGTTCTGACATTAGTTACAGACAGAGATGAGTAGCAGCTTCCATATACTTCTGCCCCAGAGAGAGGCAATTGGAAAACAAGTTGTGTGGTTAAGTGTTGCAATGAAAAATAAAGAAATGATTGAGAACAGTGGAATCAAATTATAAGCATAAATGCAGGTGTGCTGAAGTTTCTAGACACTTGCAAAATTGAGAAATACTGTCAGGATTGTGCAAATACATTGTGCTAAATAATTTCCTGGTGTGAAGTAAAATATTTATAAAATTGAGAATTCTGCCATGAATAAAGTCTTCTCTGTGATATAATAAACTAAAATAGCCATACTTTGTATCTATCTCAAATGAAACTAAACATATTTAACTAATAAAGAACTAAATAAAAAGATTTCATTATAAAAATAAAAATAATTTATATTTTGGCATTACTCTAAGTTGCTTAAAATGATGAAAGATAGTCAGTAAACAAAGTAAAGACTGATTTATGTTAGAGGACTTTATATTTGTTTGTTTTTTAAATATTATTATGGAAGCTGTATTATCTTAAACTTCTTTAAAACCCTTCTTCAGGGAGGGTGAGTGGGTGAGAAGAGATCAACCAGAGAAGTTGCATGCTTCTATGCATAACCATGAACACTGATAATAGGGTGTTGAAGGCCTGGTGAAGGGGTATATGTAATACTTTCAATAATAAAAATTAAAAAAGAAGAATTAGACCTTTAGTTTTAATGAAACTGAACAATTCACTGATAACTTAGAATGATTGTATCTGATTCCACTTTTTCTCTTTAGATGTGAAATGAAAGGTTTTATTTGTACAATCTTTTGTAGATTTTCTAAGAATATATTTGAACAAATCATTGACGTAAAGGGTTAATTGAGAAAGAAACATACTAATATGCAACGTATTTCTCTTATATGGAGCTCTAGAAAGATTCTATTGTCAATCCAAACAGAGCAAACTAAAATGAGATAATTGGGAAGGTGCCCATAAAGTCAGCCTGAATATATTATCACAACTATATATGAGATAATATTTGTTTTAAAAAGATTCTATGGCACTGTAAACTCAGTCTCATTAGAGACTGCATTTAAAAGGCTTATAAAGTTACTCATTAATGTTATCTTGTTGTATCTCCACAGCTTTTTCATTAAAGAAAATTCAGCAGAAAGCATTTTCTCCTGATAGCAGGAACCAATTTGCAATAAATGTTCTGGAAACCACTAGGGAAGCCATTACTGAGGTCTAATAAAAACAGACAAGCGTAACTTGTTCTATATTTTTGTTTCAATCACATACAGATGAGACCCCGCTTTCCACACCAACTGCAAGAGACAGCCTCGACAAACTTTCTCTAACTGGGCATGGACAACCACTGCCTCCTGGTTTTCCATCTCCTTTTCTGTTTCCTGACGGATTGTCTTCCATAGAGACCCTGCTGACTAACATCCAGGTAGGCTTTTTTGCAACCTGTAAGAAAGGAACATAAAAACCCAGTTGCAGAGTTTTCAAAGTCATACTACTCCAGTTTAAGCTACTCATGAGTTTGGCTGAACCATGGTATTGAACTTCTTCCAGCAAGTTAAGATTTTAAACTTGCTACACTAATCAAATCGGTTTAGAAATACACAATCTGTATGATAAGCCTCAAAAATCACTTACATGAAAATGACCTAGGTGCTTTAAAATGCTCGATGCCTAAATGTTCTTGTTATCACTGACTAATGGGAAGAATTTAAATGTTTAAGTTTGTCTGATTTACTAAATGACGGCACACTAGTTCTAATAAATATTTAGTTATTTTTAAACTGTTGGACTTCCAGTGAGGAAATGATATGTTTAGCCACTTAAATACATCTAGTATGAAGGAATCCAAAAACATCTCTTCTTTCATAAGTAAGTTTGTTGCAGTTAATAGGGTTTCTTCAAAGAATAGACTTCAAAAAGCCATACAAAACTTTCCACGGATTTCCTATGTAGTCCTCAGGATGTATATTTTATGTACAGTACATTATGAATCAAAAATACTTGCAGTTAACAATAACAGAGAGCATGGAGCCAAGTAATAAGTGTGTGGGATAAAAGAAAGCCTAATTTTCATGCCCACACATGAAGTTATCATGTGGGCCCCATATGGGGATTTTTTCCATCTATTTCTCCACATTTGGAATAGCTAGTAGTATGAATGTGCTTGCAGACACTATACTGATAACCTGTTTTGTTTTGTTTTCAATTTTTACTCTAGCATTCCATCCTTGGTGATATTTTTCTGTACATATTTTCTACCAAATTAAACTTTCTCCCAGTAGAAATGTAATTAATTTTATTTACCTCTCCAAGGATATAACAGAAGGCCTTTAATGGAACATATCTTCTCATATATTAATGTGGCATTTTTAATACTAATGTAATTAGAGTCTCCAGAACTGTATTCAACTTTAAGGTTTTATATCTCAGTAATTGAAATAAATCATCAATCTGCCCAAATTTAATCAAGGCCAAATAGCTGATTATATTTTAAAGTAAACATAATACTTTTTCTAAATCTGACTCATAGTACTTTTGCTATGAGATAGATTTTAACAAATTCCCTCTTTTGTTAAATTAAATGCTTTCAGAAAATATCCCTCAACATTTTTGAATTTGCATTGTGACAATAAGGGAACAATTCATTTTTTTAATGTATACAACTCTATGTGAAGCAAACAAACAAACAAAATGAGGTGTTTACTTAAAATCCTCCCCCTGGTTGAATGTATCTTCACTAACTAAAACCTCTTTAACCAGGAAAGTGGTGATTTCATTTTAATTTCGGCAGAGAAAACATGTCTGTGTTTCTTCAGTGTAAAAGCAGCTTGCACACCTGGAGAGCGGGTCCCTGTGGCCTCCTCTGATGTGTGGATACCATGTCTCTGGAAGAAATACTGTCAGTTTGGAAATGTTCACCCACCCCAGCCCAGTGTTACCCAGACAAGAAATGATATCTACATCACCTCAAACTAGAACTATTTCTTTTAAAAAATAGAAAGGAAGGAAAAACCTAGTTTTACCATGTATACATTTAGACACTGTTTGTTTTTATAGAAGTCATCTCTAGATTGAATATACTCCTCTTTCTACACTCCAGCCAGCCTCAAAGACATATTTAGCAAAAGTTGATAATAGGTTGATAGTAAAGGCAAGCTAAATGATTTCTAGTTTAAGATCATAGTAATCCAAGACTGATAATGTTAAAACCCCTACACTAAGAATACTGTATTATAAATAAATGATACATGTCAACTACAGTATTACATATATGTAATATGAATATAGATGTAGATGTTATATTTATATATGTATTTAATATATGTGTATATAGGCATGCACATATGTGTATATAAGGTAAAATAATGATTAAAATCTTACTGTATTTCAGGCACAGGTATATATATATATATATATATATTCACACAAGCAAACACACACAAAATACATATGTACATGCACACATATGCACACACATACATACATACTGGATTTATGGTTAGTAATGGTTTATAGAAGGTCATGGATGCTAGTTCTTTTAATATTGCCACATTTATTGAGTTATAGTAATATCCTTAGAATGACATAGAATGTTTAAACAGTCATAATCCTGGCTTATTGGTCATACAGTATAAATGTATTTGTTGTCCAAATTCTAGTTTTGGTAATTACATTCAGCCTACCTCAATTTCCTCTGCAATTTCAATTACATGCAATGTGTTCTCTGCTTTCTATGTCAAGACAGTAACCTTTTTGGTAGGTTTAAAGCTCCGTATTTCCTTTGGAGGTATTTTATCAGAATAGTAATGAAAAAGAATTGAGTTGAAAATGTGTAATTTTTCAAATCATACAATTTCATATCTAAAATTAAAGATTCATTATGCTTATCTGCTATTGTAATTAAACCCAAATCTATACTTAAACTTAATGTATATGAACTCTATTTTTTTTTAGAATTAATGACCAAAAAAATCCCTTCAAAATAATATGTTTAAGGAGTAATTGTTCTAATATCCAATATTTTAATTTCTGATATTCTGTAATTTAATAATTCTCAATTTTAAAATTTGTAATAAATACTACAGATGTTTATTTCATGGCATGTTATGAAAATTTAATTTTTATAAATGTTATTTTTTTGCTTTAAAAGAAGACCTGTAGAATATTATATACTAGTATAATACTATTTTTAAATATATTATATATAGTATAGAAAAACACTATATCTACATTTTTGGTATAAGATTTTACTAACTCTGTCTTGAAACTTGAGTTTTTTAGAAATTAAAATAATAGATAAGGATGTCTAAAGTAAAGACAGTAATTTCAAATTAGTGAGAGATGTGATACATTCTAGATTTTGCTTTATGAGGTTTGTTAAATTTTTATTTTATAGAAATTTTATTTGTGATTTTAAAATGTGGGCAGTTTTTCATATGGCTTTGTTATTCAAATGTGTCTACAGAGAACTCCCTGTGAAATTTCAGTTGAGAAAACTAGAAATTAAGTAACAACATATTAGATGTAGCACCTTCAAACATTAATTACCATTTGAACACATACAAAGGAGAATTTTACCAAGTATTTTCAGTCTGAGCTATCAAGTAATAATCATACCTAGTTTTTCTATATGGAAGAATTAAACAAAGAAGAAAAATCCTACAAATAATGTTAAAACCACAATAAACATATGTGCATGCTTATATACACATATATTAATTAGTACATAGATTTGGGAATAAATAATATACATTCATTCCCTTATTAAAGTAATTATTTAAAGTAACTTATAAATGTTAAAATAAGAATAGGTAAATAAGTTAAAAAAAATATATAAAATGAGGGTAGAGAATATAAAATTTAGTTAGAGACGAGGTTGGCATTGAAATATAAGCCTTAGGGGAATATATGACAGGAGTTTGGTTCACTATAGTTTTTTCTATATGGAAGAATTAAACAAAGAAGAAAAACCTACAAATAATGTTAAAACCACAATAAATGGCTGTCCCAGGTTAATTCAAAATGGTTTCATAAATATACATAATCTAACTGTGAAATGTAAGAAATATGCTCTAATTCTTGTTTGAGGAAAGAAAATGAAAAATAATTTGTTTTAGTACTAAGTCATAAATACTCTGATCTCCCAGTCTTTATATTTTAATAACATGCATGTATATTTCATACATTTTAAGAAATTAACTTCTTTCTTTTCCATTATTAATACATAATTGTAATTATAATAGGGTTAGATAAAAGAATTAGAGGCAAATTTTCAAAAAGATTAAAAAAAAATTAGAGCACCGGCTTCAAAATATGGGTAGGTTGAGATCAGATATGTTGTTCTTATACTATATCTTTCTATCTTTAATCATAAGTATGCATTATGTCTTCTCCCTTTTATTTTCATTAGCAGTTTATAAAAAAGATAATAAAAAGAATCCCAGTAAAATGTATCCAATATTCTACAGATGGTTTACTATGATGAAAAGAATAGCATAAAGCTCTTAAAAATCTGAAGAACATACTATATTTACTATTTTTATCATACTCTACTATAACACTCTTTCAATTCTGACATTTCTGGTCATCAAAAGTGTCCAGTAGTTTATCCCACACTAAACAATTCTGGAACAATAGATGGGTGCCTCACATTTTAATTCAGTTCTGACACCATGTACCTGGACAATCAATTCCACAAGACTGCTTTTGCCTCTACTTCATATGCCAATTGCAAGTCTAGGTTGTAAATTGTGCTTCTGACCAACTGACCCATTCCTCAGGTTCCTCACTAGTGCAACTCATGGAACTCAGGGAAACGTTTCACTAGCTAGTCCTATATAATAAAAGCCTAATAAGCTAAGAGTTTGGTCATCTGGTGATTGGTTGACTTCAACCAATCAAAGCATAATATGCTAATGATACACCAAAGCCACTCAACCACTAGCTATGATGTGCACTGACCACTAGGGAGCAGACAGTAGTCTGGTCAACCATTTGCTAACGTGCACTGATGACCAGGGGACATACACTCTGACCAGTAGATTAACTTGCTGCTGGGTCCAGCTGATTGGGACTGAGTGAGATGGGCCAGACATGCCCAGGAGCCCTCCTACGGTCCTTCTCTTGCTGGCCAAACTCCCACATCCCTCCCTGGCCAGCCTGATTGGCCCAATCAGGACGGGGCAAGATGGGGCTAGACAAAACTTGGAGCCCTCCCGAGGTTCCTCCCCAGCTTTAATTGTGCACCAGTAAAGTCTCTCAGCCTGGCCTGTGCCCTCTTGCAATCCAGGGCACCTTGGGGGATGTTGGAGAGCAATTTTCAGCTGGATCCCGCAGGCCACTCCCCTTGGGAAGGCATCAGACTCAGGGTTCACAGTTGGTGAGTACTGTTGTGGCAGCGAGAGCTTCTCCCAATTGAAACTGATT